TCACTTTCGCGCCCGTTTCCTTACGGTTACATAATTTCCCGCACCGAAAGTGAACCCCGTCAGCACAGATATACCGTTTTTATTTTGTCCATCGTTGTGCACTTTCTGCCGACTAGCTTGAAGGACGTGCCCGTACCAATTTATCTCTTTTTTTGACGAATCCATGTCTCTTTTTCACTTGAATTATCTACTGGGAGATAAATAAAACGCTCTTTGTTTACTCGTCATGATCCAAAGACTGTGGCTCTGTTTCTCTCCATCTCATACAGCAATATCGTTTCTGATACGACTCTCAGCACAGTCGGTCGATTGGCTAAAACTCTCCCGGTTTTTATGGGCACTGGAGTCGGGGTCAGTGTGGCGATGGTTCGTGTTGTGACCGCCTACGATCAGTTTGTACGAAGTCATCAACTGACTGCGTGGCGTACGGCAGAAATGGCCAAGGTAATCCATGCTCTTTCCACTCTCTGTGTTTTGCGGTTGAAGGCAAATTATTGAACTGTGCTAGAGTTCGGGGATATTTAGAGCCATCGATCACGGTTGAACGATGTGTAAGAAGTGTTNTTTGTTATTTGCTAATCACAGCAATCGATTACGAGCAATCGGCACGTTGGGTGCGAACAGATACAATTTGACCGGACGGAATGCTTCGTCTAAGTTATTGAAACTGCGGCGTCTGCCGTTCCAGGTGTACACGCCTCATGTTCGGTTCCTTCAGCCTGGGCGGTTCTTAAGACCACGGGGATTTTCTTTGCTTTACGCCTTACTAAAATCAAGTGTGTAGTAAGATTACTTCACTGAAGCTCGCAGTGACGAAACAGTTCATTTCCGGATATATGTATATTACATACAAACATTTATATACACTTATGTATATATTATGTGTATGCATATACATATGTATGTTTCATACACCTCTGAGTTCTTACTTTGTGCCAAACAAATCACGGCGCAATAGTCTTTATTAAGAGAAAAATGTCCATGATTTCTGGAGGGCATGATACTGCTAGGTCGCCCAGGCCAAAGCGGGTGAGTTTTCTTCAGGAGTCTGATCCGCAATGTAGCGGGGCGGTGTGTGGAAACCGCGTTCCATTGGGGGCCAGTGTCCAGTCCATCGGATCGTTTTGATGGAGTCAAACGTCCAAGATGCCCAATACACCCCGATATCCAATCGAATCGGTGGCCGTTGCCACAACCGGAAGAATTTGGTTGGTCTGGAATGCGGTTTTTTTTACCGACTTCCTTAGCTGAACTGTCAGCAATTCACCAGCCTAGATGTTGGCTTCTCGTCCTCTCAGTTTGGTGAGAAAACACCGCCACGAGAAGACAGTTACTTAGTAGGGCTTCCTCAGTAGAAGCTATTTAGAACCCCGGTCGTATTTTGCGAAGTGCGAGGAACTGGTGACCGGCCACAACCGAAGACCCCCACCTCCAACTATACTGAGGCTTTTGATCGAAGCATATGACTGAAGGGTCTGTGTCGTTGGATGGGTGAGTTCTAAGCAGTCCAAATTGCCTTTGAGTTCAAAATCGTAGTCCAGAAATCGGTTAGCCCTAAACGCGACACAGAACCTTCGACTAGGTCGTTTCGGTGTTTATTTTCAGTATTTTCATATGAGCTCATTAGGATGTTTGAATATGTTCATTTTGCTTGTTGCGATGATTGGGCTGTGTACCAATACGGTGTATTTGAAAACACCATTTTATTCAGTTGATTATCCTCTGATTGAGTTCTAACCCGTTCTACTGAATCACGCGAAGTTCATAGTATTTTGCAGCACGCGTTACAGGTCCGATGCGCGATTCCCCGATCTTCGTCATATTTTTATACCCCGTAATTCGTTGGTAGTAACGATAAGCCATTCGATTAGAGTTAGGCATCATCCCGTTGAGGCGGTCTACAACAGGGTGAAGCTTCCTTTCGCTGTCTGTTCGGAAAGGTAAACAGAATGCACACAGCGACAATATAAATGAATACACACCTACATTTTGTGGGCCGTGTAAATGCAGGTGAAATAGCTGATTCTTTCACCCCATGGGTTAGTACTTAGTTTTTCTTGTGCAGCATGAGTTCGATGTACTTTTCTCTCTGTATTCTGCAGTTGAATGATGGCATCCAAGGAGGAAAAAGTGTATTGTTTGGGTATTGATTATGATCTTGAGAATACGTTTGAACGCTGCCGGTTAACAGATTCCTGCTGGCATGGTTTTTGCAAGATTCGCATACAAATATAATTGCAAGATAAAAACGGGAAAACTTTTGTGCTATCCGCAGATGTGCTATTTTAAAAATGTAATTTATTTGAGTTCTTCACAGTGCGAAGACTCAGAAAGTACTTGAAATAGATTTTTATCATAAGGAAATAAAATTGCCGCGTAAGGATTAGTTGCAAAAGAATGCTCTGGTTTGGCTCTTGCCATCAAGGCTCATTTTCTTCAATATCCTCACAGCCTATTTGATTGACTGTCCAATTTTTCAGTTGGTGTATAAGGTGACCAATAGATTTTAGCTAATCTGGAAGGCACTTTCCATTCGTTGGTCAACATAGAATAGCCCTTTGCGTTACCCTCACCAGTAGGCCTGATTATCTTTGTAAATCCGTTGCATTCACGGCGTAAAATTCATCAAAGCAGCACATTTCTTGCGTTTCTTCTCGTTGATATCCCACTGACTGACGGTATTTCTATCCTGGTGAGTTTTCCGTTACACGCGCAGAGATTTGTTTGTAGTTTTATGATTTCGTTC